GAGAGTTTACGGCAACTTTGTTCGGCCTCACTTAGAATATGGCATACAAGCGTGGCGGCCATGGCTAGTAAAGGACCAAGCATGCCTCGAAGGTGTACAACCGCGTGTAGCAAAGCTGGTAAATGGTCTGAAAAGCCAATCCTACACAGACAGACTGAATTGCCTTAATTTATTCCCTCTGTGTTACAGGCAACAAAGAGGTGATCTTATCCTCGTCTATAAGATAATACATGGCTTTGAGCATGGACTTAAATTTGAGGAAATGTTTCAGAGGCACCTTTCACCCAATCTTCGTGGTCACTCGATGAAGTTACGAACAACACTGTCCAGGCTGAATCTTCGTTTCGAATTTTTCACGCAGAGGGTAGTGGAGAAATGGAGCGATCTCCCGCAGTCAGTCGTGGAGGCTACGTCTCTGCAACTCTTCAAGAAACTCTTGGATAATTATTTGTGTCCCCTGTTTTCTCTCGACAGTCTAAATCTGAACTAACCCCCCACGACCCGGAAAATGCTTTCTCTGAGACAATGCTACTCAAATGAATCAAGTACTGTTTTAACAGCGAATATTTTCATTGTTCGTGTACAGTTACGTCTAACGAGCTGACATGTAATCAATAGGGTTTTCAAAGGCTTTGCCAATTATCCTTACCAAATAAACTGAATAAACTAGTTAAAATCGGGAGGTTGCGTATCAACTTGTGAAATCATTGCGTTTGTCGGTAGACTGCCATTTGCGGATCCTTGACCGAATATTTTACACATCACGCGGCCGGGAGTCCTAGTGAGGTTGACGGCATGATCGGACCTAACTTATGGCAAGGTCGCGTTGAGTGATTCGTAATTTGGAGAGTTGGCATCACTCCTTCTCATCGCGTTTGGGTGCTCAGTTTTCCGCGTTAGGATTTATCTTGATACTTCTCCAAGATAACTGCTTTGTACACAACGTCATCTTATTGTTCAAGCGAGTAGAAAATTTTCTGTCGGTGATAGTGGTTACGACTGGCAGCATCTGACATGGTAAAAGGGGACGGCGATTGGATCTCACGACTTTCATGTCGTGCATACGTATTTACCCCCCGCAGTTTGATCTCTCCATCTTTTCCTTATTCCAGGATCATCCATCAGAAATTTCAGTGATTTCGAATGCATCGTGTCCTCCACAGAATGCGATATCCTTTCTGGCTAATCCTTTCGATGAAGTAGCGGGGCTAGGTTGACATGCACGGTCTAAGCCGCCTCCGTTTCGATAATCGCCGACACTCATCTGGAATCCACTCTGGCACCTCCATTTTCGAACTTTCACCCCGGGTCGATGATTTCGCGACTCTTAATGTCAACTCCTCATTTCTACCCCAAGTGGTCTGTTGGCGATCACGGCGAAATCCCCTGTTTTCGCCATCTTCTAGTAGTTTGTTCGGTCAACAAATAGATCTTAGAGTTGCATTCTTTTCTATACGCGTTGACGACCGCCCCAACCTTGTATTTTCCCTAATGGGCTGGACTCTAAGCGGACTGCGACCGGTCGCCTCTGGGTTCCTCTAGTCTCGCCATTTAGAGACTAATAGTCCCACCGGGCTTAGGAATTCTGCTTTGATGATGTCAGTTTTCAATCCCTTATACAGTACCCTATATAGACCAGTCCTGCTCGACCCGCATGTTTACCCTCTTCAGGGGTGGTAATTCTTTTCCTCCTTAGAAGCTAGCCATTTCATATTCACTTGATTTTTTTCACTGCTCGCTGGCCGTTTATAATATCTGACTGTTTATTTTTACCCGCTACGAAAGTACCCTCAAGGATACTCAATAAAACAATTTATTTATTATTTGTTTATTCTCACAGCTCCTCTCTTGCGCCAGCTTCATCTCATTTATTTAAATGAAACGTTATTCATCGTTTCGCCTTAGTGCTTTTCTTCTGATGGTAAATTGTAAAAATTTGCTTTAGAAACTCCAGTTCACTGACTTAAATCTCGCCCTTGTTTTGGCTAAGTTTACTGCGCTCAAGATTCTATACAGGCCTCAAAAATTCATTTTTCACTCTCCTCGCTCGTAGTTAATCCCTTTGTACAATCGACGGTTTCTCGTCGTTTTTTGAAATTAGGCAATGACTAAGGTCACTCACTGCGGCATTCTTTTTTACGATGTGCCGCGTGCAATCCAAAATGGGAGAAACCACTGAACACTTGATATTTAAGTGTAGAGGCTCAAAGCATTTTGTTTGGTCAGATTTTGGCATATATAGCGGTGCTGGCAGAAAAGAAGAAAATGCTGTGAGATCGAGAATGTTTTATAATGCTGATACTGCCGGAAAACTGTTCCATATTATTACGTAAGACCATCGGCTGGCCGAGTTGTGATGGTATTTAGTGTAAGTTGTAGATGGGTAGCGATCATATCGTTAAAGTATGAGAGTGCTGGCTATATCGCATATCCATGCACTACAATTAACCCATTTTCGGTTCAACTGTTATGCCAACATTAGGACAATTAGATTTGCTACCTTGTTTATCACTTGGGTAGTAATCCCATCCGTCGCGGCATCTACGGATGGGGGGCGGGGGTGGTGGAAGGCATTTGCAATTCCTGTAATACAGGCGGCCGGTGGAGCAAGCTGCCTGGAGTGTTGCGACACAGCCATTCCACCAAAAATTCCTTTTCTCAGACAATTAAAGGATACCCAATAAAAATATCGTCAGAGACACCCGAGAATATGTGACGGTACGAGTCAGTCTCGGTTGAGATAAAAGAGAACTTCCCGAATCCAAATCTAAAACTGTAATCTTAAAACAGCAGCCGCCTTTTGCAAAACTGCTCTAAAAACAGCTGTCTTCTAGGAGCGGCGCAAGTAGGCAATCCCTTCTTAAGAGTCAGGAACCGACATGTTGTAATTCAGCGTGCGTTTAAACCCACAAGTCTTCAATTTCTCGAACGCACGATGTTAGCACCTAACTCCTGCCAACGTCCCGACATTGTCTTTGTTCATTTAAGATATGGATCAGTCTCCCTTCCTAATAGCAATGAGTTACGAATATGATATGAACCGGAAGTGATTCCTTCCCTTAGTCTCGACCGGTCGGAAGCGAATCGAATAGATCCTTGTCTAGCGAAACCGTGGCGAATCGACTCCGACCGTTCGTAACTCAAAATTTTCAAGCATACGGCAGACTACTTATATCCGTTATCAGAGTCCCCCAGACCCCATCCACGTTTTGCCACCTACCGACCCATTTACCTATGGCTAATAACATTTTGAGCAATGCATGGGAGGAATTCGTTATGTAAAATGAAAATTTTTTTATTAGAAATGTAAAACTGTTTAATTGTAAAAAAATGAAGCTATGGCTGCTTTGATGGGCCCGTCTCGCCATTGGGATTGTGTGAATCTGCAAAGGAAACATGTATACAAGTAAAATGAAAGGAGCTAACTAACAAGTACTGTTTCAACTATATTAAATAAAGTGCATCTATGCTACGCAAACTTAATAAGTCATGCTAAGAACAGACTCAGTGTTTGCATCCAATTTATTATTTCTTTCGAGCAACCGGTCATATGCCCGTTTGAAGGCATTTTCCAGCGCCATATCCAACTGAAGACGGACGGAGCGCTGTCCTCTGTTCCAGTGGTCGACGATCTCTGTAATAAATTCCATCAGCGCACATCCATAACAGGTCCGACATAGAACCAAATTGTACAGAGGCGTTCCCAAGAACGGACTCTTTCCCTGTTGTCGGCCGTAAAAGATGACGAACAAAGGTGAATTCTTCGGAGAACAGCGCAACGAAAACTCTCTCAGCGATGGACACAACAGAGTCCCCGCCAAAAGAGCTCCAGTAAGTCACCTAGCAAAGTAGTGAATACCGTCGTTACGCAACATACCAGTTGTTGGCGATACGTATTGACGCCTAGAGCACTGACGAGGGCGTCCAGCTACTCCGGATTGCCCACCTGCCCCAAGTTGAATCCGGAGGACTCGGATGGGCTGATGGACATGCTCCTGAGGCCTTGGAGCAGATCCATCATCGCTGCGTGCTGTTGACGCAAGCCAGAGACCTGGTGCATAAGCATTGCTAGAGATTGCATCATCCAGCGAACGCCGTGCTTCAAACTGGTCCGCCCTCGCCGGCGTTGGTGTTGGTTCCCTGGGCGTCCTCTCCGCCGAGGGGTGCTGAACAAAAGGTTGCTACCTACGCAAGTCAGATACGGGACCTCGAAGCTTACCCGCGTATGGAGGTGAGGCACAACCTGGTATGGTTGCACTGGAATCAGTTGCCTCTGCCTGAAACAAAAAATCGGTAATCAACAGGTAACCTTACCGATGTTGATGCCACCTCCGGCATCTCGCCCAACTCCCAACCATGGGGTCATACGGACTTTTGGCGTTCCTCTTGTTCGAATCATTGCCATTCGGTGGTAGTTCACCGGACATGATTATCTACAACCCAACAGGAAAACAGTAGGTTATCGGAGGCAATGATATATACGTAATCACTGCAGGGAACCCACTGTTAGCAGGACTGAGGCCTAACCATACAGCGTACTGCTGCGACAAGTAATAAAAAATGCCTATATACCTACGAAGAAGAATGTCCCGCATGACCACCACGCCTGTGTTAAGCAGAAACTGACGCAACTCCGTGCCCTTCCATGCGCCTACATCTGCATATGTCCAGCTGGACATATGCGGATGCAGTGTAGTGACAATGCGACCAACCAGCCTTGCATTTCAAAGCAGACCGGCACGGCCGTGCCGGCTACAACCTTCTCGCCCACCTGCAAATCATTGTCATTATTGAGAGCCTCATGTTATCTTTGCCAGGACACATTGTTCTTCTGTACACAGCTCCGCGTCTTACGCTTTAACTTGGGGGTTCAGTAGTTCACGTCAGTTATTACCTCGACTGAACTGATCAGAAGTGAATATTGCTCGCTTAAACAAAGTGCACGTAGGACAAACACTATAATTTCGTGTGGGTTGGAACCACCCGTACTCGCTCCTACTATGTCCTCGAGATTTGGCCCAAGGCCCGTGGGGACCGATGGCACTGATTTTAAGCACAGAGAGCGAGTAGCTCAACAGTATAACCAAAGGTTATTTCTTTTAGTCTCGGTAATCGCTTAAATGTAGTCCTTTGTTTAAAAGGCGCATCAGAACTGTGCTCTACCTCCAAATATCTGTGTGGTTGCTCATCGTTGCTAAACTGCTACCCGAATTATGCATTCGCTTCGGATTTGTCTCAAAGACTTTTGCGCGAAAGGTGAGTCCTTTTGCTCTTCTGACATTCTCAGTGGTCTTTACCGTCCGCGGACTTGTGGGAATATGCCTGGGCCGCTGGTAGCATCTTCCCGGTGATCTTTAGCTACCTTTCCCTGCCCAAGAACAAGGTCTCACTCATGAGGATATCTTTACTCGGACATGTTACTTTTGGAATTGTCCCCATTGCCGTTGGTTGTTTCCAGAAATCTTTCGAACTCATTAACTTTTATTACACAAGACTCTCGAATTATGACTTTTATGGCTTTCCATTTATTGTAATAGTCTACATCTTCTTTTCAGTCTGTGTTCAATTGCATTTTTTCACACTATTTTTCGGTTACAAACTCCTTGGGATGTGGTCTCGCACGAGTGCCAAGAACAAATGAATTTCATGCCATCTCTCAAATATCCTAGGCACTTTTTGTCTGCTTTCGTCTGCCGATCTCGGCGGAATTAACTATTAGGTCTGTCTCAATTGGTGCATTTTCATCAGGTTGCTTCGAATCTTTACTTGCACCATGACTACGCAACTATTAATGGTTATGAATTATGTCTGTTACAATATCTGCTTTCTGTGTCCTGTCGAAACTTTTTGTATCGACAGATATTTATATACACTTTTCAAAACAAATACCCATGTTTTGCAGTTTAATTTGCTTTGATTTATCTGTAATATTCCATGAGTTCGGGCCCATGGCGTGCTGTTTTGTCTCTATTATTACTGACGCACGTCTTTCGCTCCGTAAGTCATCTTGACCTGCAAGTCAACTCATTTATCTCTGAGGTTGCCCTTCACTTACTACCAAAACCTCCTTTGCTGTATAGCGGGAAACAGTTTCTTTACGTCGGTAGGAGTTCGAGGAATCATACTTACGTGATAGCTAGCGACATCGCAGTTTTGTGCCAGGTCCGTGTCGCCCAAGATCTTAACCTATCAAAAAAACAAATGGGATCGGCTCTTCCAATGCCCAAGCACTTCTGACTGCGTATACATCGGTAAACGAGCGGTTTTACGCATGTATACTACGTAGTTTGCACACGAGCTCCATCTCTGACTCAGTTTTCAGATGCGCGGCCTAGAAACCTGTCTGTCATCTCGTAGATTCGTTCACAAACTGTCCTTTTTCGCTCAAATTTTAACCATCCCTAACTAAGGCAACGTCAGTGTTTTCACAGACAGCACCTCAAGTCCAACATTTGGTGACAGCGGATCTGAAGACGTTTCACCTCTATGTCGATGTACCAAATGTCTGTGGACTCTACGGATTTAGGTGCTGACCTCCTTATACCTGGTAAAGCCGTGATCATACCTGATCTAACTGGCTTCGATGTCGCTATTTGTTCCTATCCATTCGTGAGTGTCTGAGACAGCAGATCTGGGTAGCCCACCCCATTCCTACGGCGACGGAGACTAAACCCGAAGGGGCCAAAAACCCCCAACATGTTTCGGCGAAGTGTGTTTAACCAGCTGTTCAGTTGACTTCTTCGAGGCACCTAGATAGGCAACGGCGCCGGACCGAGGGTGGCAACGTTGAGCTCATTAGATGGACGACAAAAGGCATGACTTTTCAATGAGTGTGGGCTGCCTCATTTTAGGCGGAGGTGATGTACTCACTCGGATAATAGTCCTCGGACAGTAGTGGCCCAACATCAATTTTCGCTCATCTTCCATGCTCAGAACCCCGCACTCCGAACTGTACGAGAGGACTGATCAAAGGGATCTCCGACACAGGCGGATTATTGTGTTGGTGGCGGTGGAGACGCCGCGTCGCGTAAAACCCTGTGTCAGTCTATGCGGCACCAACCTCGTCTTGAGGTGTTTTAACTGTTTACTTCATGTTGGATTTCATTAATCCTGAGAGGTGCCGTCTCTTGATCGGGAATGCAGCTCGAAAACTACGGTCTTCCAGGTGTTTGTGAACAATGCTATCGATTTTGTGGCGCCATCCACCACCCACCAAAGACTAAGTTGCGAAAGCTTTAGACAAAGAGGACGATATCCTAGTGTAGTTGAAATTACTCAGCCGGCGCCCGGGTGCGGACTCCACCGTCAAAATCGTGTAGGGCCCTTCCGTGACAAGCCATCTAGTTCTATTGTCCGCAAAGTGGACTCACGATGGACGGAACCTAACGCAGTTACGAAGCAAACAAACCAGACGACCTTCGGTTGCTGGTAGCCATGACGGAGTTCAGGAATGCGCTGCAGTATGAATATTTCGTTCACGTCCAGCTCGGAAGGTGGTATGTTCCTTCCGCGTTTTACGAATCACGCCCACCGAAATTACTGGAGAATGGCAACAGTGAAGACTACAACTGCACCGTTGATTATGCCTATACCGCGTTAGTTTTCGCTCTTTGGACGACAGACGCAAAAATAAAAGCGAACAGACGAGTCACAGGAAGCAATCTTGAAGAAGAAGACACGGCGTGATCGTGACTGATGTCCCGGTCTTCTTCAAGACGCAAAAATGCTTGAACACGTCATCAGCACCGAGCTTATATTACTACGCTTTCACAGCATCATAGAGCTGGCGCGCCATTGCTGTGCGCGTGGACGAGCGAAAACTGGAGGCATTTAACCACTACTGCTTGAGGACCATCCTTCGAGGGGAGTACACCGACTTCGTCTCGAATGAGACAGTTCGCGCTCGCTGTGACAACATCGTAAGGATAACCCAGGCCGGCTGAGGCGGTTTGGGCATTTTCCTCGTCGTCCACCTCAGGCGCTCAGTGTTACTGCCCTCGATCCGACACCATTATCCCATTGGAGCCGTCGAAGAAGGAGTCAATTCAAAACCTGGCCCGACACACTTCATCGATATTCAGTCTCCGTCTTTGGCGAAGAGAATGGGTTGAACTGTCCAGATCTGCTGCCGCGGGTCGTCACGCGTGGAGAGGTACAGTTCGTGACATCATCGATGCCGGCCAGGTCAGACATGATCGCAGCCGCACCAAGTACAAGTACATTGCCGACACAGGTCCTGTAGATGTCAGTGAGAATACTGTCCTCATCGTGCACCGCATTGTGTAGCCTCTGTGTTGTATTGACGGTTCCTCCCTCGGAGCGTGGATATCACGTAAAAGTCCATAGGCCAGATAGAGGTAAAACTCCGCTGCAGAGGAGAGCTGGGTTGCTCAATTCAATCATGCCGGCATTCGACCAGCTCCGAGTTGTCAGATAAAAAACCTCCATTTATATCGCGAACAGAGCCATTCGGTGCGAATTGCCGACCACTAACATGGCGGATAGTGTGGCAGAGCTTTCAAGCAACCCTAAAGTTTGAGGGCTGATGCATGGAAGTCGCTGTTTCAGCCAATATCTTTGTGGTCATCGTTAGCCGGGTTCGCCGTTGTTTTATAGATTTAGCTGAAAAAATCCTTGTCTGCTTATCTGGCTCGAACCCTCTGGCCAGACATCGGCAGGGTTCTTCCGCTGGTCCAGTCTCTGCGGTGTCGCAGAGTTAATCCAAGGATTTCCTCAACTGCGTCATCAACTCATGATTTCGACGAGAACAATT